CACCAAATGGAAAGCTCTTATTCTTTGCAGAGGTTTCGGCACAACAAAACCGAGTACATCTCTCCAACAGCTTTCGGAAACAACAAGGCTGTGTTCTGAACCAAGACTACCAAATGAAATATTCACGAAGTGCATTAGCGCACTAGAGCCTACATTTCGGACAGGCATGGAATCCAGGCACAATCCAGCACTTCAGAGACCACTAAAGCTTGGCTGCATTTCAACAGTATTGGGGTGGGCAGAGTCTTCACAAAGAAGGAAGACTTTCACTCTTGCTCAGCTCAACCCCATTGCTCAGCCAATAACGATTGCAGATATATGAGGCAACGAGAGACAGCATGGGACACACCTGCCACCTGCCCACTTTCTTCTGATTTTATTAGACCACTGGTAACTCTAATGCAGGGCTGTGGAGTCTTTTTCAGCCCAAGGGCAGCATTACCTTCTGGGTATTCTTCTTAAGTGGGGCACATGCCCGTTGCGGGTGGGGCCAGAGACAAAAGTAGCACAGCAACAAATGCAGAAGAAATGCACATGCTATCTTTACACAATAGGTAGTTTTACACACACTCTTGCAGTTTCTTTTGCTTTAATATTTCTTTACTGTAAATACAGCAGCACTCTTTGATGCCCCAACTCAATCAACTGGCATTTCTGCTAACCCTGGGACCAAATAAGAGTGGCATTTACCGTATTTTTCGCTCTATAACACGCACTCAACCATAACACGCACGTAGCTTTTAGAGGAGGAAAATCCGTAGGCATGCCACCCGTAGGCATTCCCTCCATAACACGCACAGACATTTCCCCTTACTTTTTAGGAGGAAAAAAGTGAGTGTTATGGTGCAAAAAATACGGCAAATAAGATCTGGCTAATGCATTAATACACACACCAGTTTGGACCATAACTGAACAAATCTGCCTTTGAATGAATCTGTCTGAACATTCAAGAGGTGAAAATTTAATTTATCCCTTGAATGATTCAGTAAATCAATAAACAAACTAAGCAAACAATGTTGCTGTGTTTTAAGCAAAAGAGCAATATTCGGGTGGACCACATTTTTTAGGATGCACTGTCAATTCTTGCAAGGGAGAATTATCGCTGAAAGTCCAAACCTCAACCCCTATATTTCCAGACCACCACCCTCCCCACATAGAGCAAAGACTAAACCAAGAGTATGTCCTGCTGTGTGCATTGGACTGATGATCATTTGAAACAGCCCAATGGTTGCCATGAAGTCCATGAACTCCTGAGCTAGATCTGAGGCATCCCCACTATGGATGCTGAAGTCACCCTAAAACACAGTTCTTGTTTCCTCTAACATCACACCCAATTCAACCTTGGCCAGCACAGTCAGGGAGGCAGATTAGCAGTAGGGTGGGAGGTAACAACTACAGAATCACTAGCCAGTCTCTTTGGCCCAACACCAGATGCAAGCTTGAATACATGGGCAACCAGAGTGGAGTCAAAGTTAGCCCACCCACCTCCCACACCCAGGTCTCAGTAATACACTAAGCCAACCTCCTCACCCACAACAGAATTGTGGATCAGCACGGTTCTGTTATGGACTGACCTGGCATTCAGAAGTAGAACCACTAGACTGTTGGGGACAGTGGCAAAGCATCCATTGTTACCAGCAAGAGGATATCAGGCACAAGCACCTATCACAAGGTGAAGGGCTGCGAACCTGGCTTCAGAAAGGCAGCATGAGGGCAATGCCCCAGAGCCATCCTGTCACATTCCATTCTCAAAGCCTAAGTACTTGCTAAGCTTTGGGAAGGAGGCACAAGGGTTCCAGAGTCCTTGTGCTTCCTTCCCAATGTCAGCTAAACTCACAATCACATTTTTGCACAGGTGTGGGAGGGGAGGAGGAACAAATAAATGGAGAGTTCCTTCCTTCCTTCCTTCCTTCCTTCCTTCCTTCCCCACCCACCTGTGAAAAGCTGTGACTGCATAAGTAAAGTAAGTTACCTATACTCGATATGATTTTTTTAAAAGGTACTTTTTGAACAGCTAAAAAGTAGAATGGATTCCTTGCAGATTTAACCACAGGGAAAATAATCCAAAGCGTACAGCTCAGTATAACAGATTTTGCATAATGCCATTAAGCCTGTCATCTTACTGGCAATTCTGAAGCCAAAGATTTAAAAGCTGAAGAGATTGTGGATTCACCGTAACACTAAAGGAGCCCCAGTAAACATCACTGTGCCTATTATTACAAATGCATTTCACATTTATGGGATGTGTCATCCTTAATTCCAGGCAGATTAAGTGGGAATTGCACTGAGCACAGACTAATACCTGAAATGTAGCAGTGATGTCAATACAAAATCAAATGAAATATTGCATGAGAAAAAACAGCTGCTTGAGAACAGGACCTCTTTGTTCTGCACTTTGGGCTGCTTTTCCCACACTAGTTCTGAGATATGCATCTTAGATGTTTTAAAAGTACAGTTAAAGCATAATGTGCGAAGGCAACGGGCATGAGTTTGCACACACCCACCCCTTAGGCTATGTTAGAATATGATGTTATAACTAGGGTTTAGTGTGATGAGGTGGAGCCATAGCCAGTCTTGGACTTATGCATTCCCTCTTCTTCCTCTGGCACAACCACATGCTTCTGCTTTCATTTCAATTAACTGCTGTCATATGAAACCCCAAACTGTGGTTAATTTTCACTATGATTTGCTGAAATGAGAAAATCTCATTAAACATGGTTTGAAGTTCATGTGTTTCAACAAACCATAGCTAAGTTTAACCATAGTCTATCCAGTTTGAACCATCACAGCCACCTGTGGTTAATCGAAAATGAAAATTAAAGCTTCTAACCTCCTCCTGTACCCACAACCAGAGGAAGACAGAGGAGGATGTAAGCCCAAGATCACTGTGATTTACATTCACTGGGAGGTAGGACCAGCTGCAGCTTTCTCCCAAGTCTTCAACTGGTGGAAAGAGTCAATCACTCTTTATCATGTGAAAAGGCAATTAGGCTTCTTCCTCACCTTATGATGACATGCCTTTCAACAAACCCAACATCCAACCATTTTCTGTCATGGTGGAAGAATAAATTTAGGGGTATGGAATTTCTCTGAAGGCCTGGTCCTAATTTAATTACAACATCTGACTGCAAGTGGTCCTCTATCTACTGCTCAGATTTAAGATTGTTGGGGTAGGTCAGCGATTTAAACAAGACCAGAAAACAACAAAAATAGATCAAAAGAATAGAATTTTATTTGTAAGGAAATTTATTCCCTAACAAAGGGTAAAGGTTAAGCAGTTACAGATCAACACTAAGCAAGCTGACGTGCCTTCCTGATTGATGGGACCCCACTCCAATCATGGAATGAAAATCCTATTTTGATCAAAACCTACTAAATTCTTGGTCAGCTCCTCCTCCGTGATCTACACAAATCATGACATAACCTTCAATATCTGATTGGTTAGGGCCTTCAAATGGATTTAGTATTATCATTTTAGTAATAAGGGCTCAGGCTCAGGTTGTTTGTTGCTGAAGCAACATCAGAACTTTGTGTTCCTCTAGCACAGCCTGAATCCTGCCTTTCCTCAGAGCAGTACAATAGGAAGGAAGCCATGTGTTCTCCCTTAAGGACTCTCCTGTTTTTTTTTAAACCATATTGGGAGGGTCCAAAGGAACCCCAGTGGTTCACTGGATGCTGCACCTCATGAGCTCAAGAGTAACCTATGAAGGCATGCCTACCTTCAGTGCTACACTGTCTGCCTTCAAAATGGATATGAAAATGAAGTCCCTCCAAAATACAAAGACTCATCCACCCAAGAAAAAACTCACCCCACTCTCAAGTGACAGGAATCTACTACAAGATTCCTCATCAATTACTCTAATGGGAGCCATTTCCGAAACTACCCTCTTTTTGTATCAGCCATCTAAGTTATTACTGCTAAATAATTCACATAATTAACCAAGATGCAATTTGGCCATGCCTCTCCCCAATCAACAGTAAAAAAAAATTAATGGTTTAAGAAACAAGTTCAGATCAGCAAGACACTCAATTGATTAACAGAAGAGGGCAGGGAGGCTGATGGGCTAAGACCTTGGGCCAAATAATACTACTGAGCCCATTCAAAGCACAAATTTTATAGACATCCATTCTGGGCTAAAGCCTTGATTGAAAGGAAAACAGAAGTTTACAAGGATGTAGTAGTTGAAGTTCTGTCTGCCTTTATTTGAAAGTCTGGAATCCTAATGAATCTGCCAGTGCCACCCACTACAACACAATGGGGTGGTGTGGTGGGGAGATGAAGAGGCAGCTGATTCAGTAAAGAAAGGAATAATGTTGAAAAGAGGACAGATTGTACTTACACTTCAAATTCAGTACAAGAAAACCAAATTCTGTACTGAAAATAGATTGTGCATCAGTATTATCTACAATCAACTTGAAGCTGCTCACCAGAGATTTAGATAAGAGTCTCCCCGCTCCCCAGCCTTACCTGGGGAATCTGGGGGCTGAACCTGAGACCTTACGCGCACAAAGCATGAGCTCTACCACTGAGCTACAGCTCTTTCCCTAAAGAGAAAACAGATGCAACAAGGGAGGCAAACACAGAATTCTGCCTTCTGGGATTGGTGGCTTTTTGCAAAGATGGGTCTTGAATGCAGCACATAGTTCATGCTGATGAAATCATACCAACTTCAGGGAGGTTTAAGCAACCTATGTGCAAATCATTTTCCAACCTGACTGTCTCATACTAAAACTTTTGATCCTAACATTTAAAGCATGAATATTTGAAACATGTAGATATTGAAGGTAGAATTTGTCATCACTGAAGGAGGGGAGGTAAGAAAAGAACTCTGGGAAATTCACAATTAACTTCACAGAACATATCCTATTTATCCTAGTACTTAAAAGTGTTGCAATCAGTACAGCTCAAACACTTGCTTCCCCCAAAAGCTGGCAGTAACCCATTACTGTTCTCTGCTAATTCTGATACTGTTCACACATCATTACACAAAGACCCTTACCTGTATATCTGTGTCCTTTACAGGCTCTAGAGGCTCAAATGTTGTTACAGCACTAAGACTCTCCAACCGCTGGGAGATGTGGGAGATGTCAAGACCTCTGGACCCAAGGAGAACTGATCTATAAGAGACATGAAAAGGCAGGGGGATGAGACTACAAATACTTTCACAGTGACAGAGGAAGGACCCCAAAATTATGCACTTGCTCCTTCAGGGAGAGTAGCAACGCCATCCAGGGCAGGCAACTTACTGACTTCCAGGCACACTCACAGAGCCTCTGTTATGTAGTGTAGTTTCACCCTGGGCCAACAGGGGGATACTATATATAGTTTTCACTCAGGTCTGTAGATAGTTTTCACTCAGGTCCGCGCCAGTTAGTTTAGGCGGGAACTCTGGGCTGTTGTGGTTACAATGTTGACAGCCGGCTGCCTATAAATACAGGCCGGCTGAGCTGTTCGCAGTCAGTTCTATTCCAGCTTACCAGAATAAAGAGCTACTTGAAGAAATCGCTGTGCCGGCTGCTATGTCAACCCACGACTTAACACTGGCGACGAGGATGGGATGGATGGACATCAGAGCACAGCCAGATGCGGCCAGCCTCTGAACTGAGCTGAATCACTGAGCTGAATCACAGAGCGAAATCACTGAGCGAAATCACTGGGCAGAACCAATTCAGAGCTGACTGTTCTGGCTAGAGCACTGTGTTCCCATCCATCGCCCTTCACGCCGGCATCGGAATCATGGCTTCACTTGTGCCTCTACCGCCGTTTGCGCCAGCCTCTGAATCATGGGACTCCTACCTCGCTCGGTTCGACTGCTACCTCCAAGCCAACGAGCTGACAGCAGTATCAAAGGATCGGAAGCGGGGCCTATTCCTCAGCCTCTGTGGGCCTGAGGTATTTGAGACGGCCCGAGCGTTGGTTGCGCCTGAAGCAGTCCAGGCAACACCATTGGACACGATCCAAGAGAAGCTCCGCAACCACTACGCACCAAAGCCGTCCAAGATTGCTGCCCACCATGCGTTCTACCACCGGAACCAGGCAGAGGGGGAGTCAATCAACAACTACACCACCGCCCTGCGACAGGCTGCAATGCACTGTGAGTTCCGAGACTTAGACGATGCCCTGATGGATCGAATCGTCTGCGGGGTCCGGGACATCCATCCGCAACGGCGTCTCCTAGCCAAGCCCAGACCTCACGCTACAGAAAGCCATTGAGGAGGCTGTGGCCTCAGAAGCTGCTGACGCTCCACTCAGAGATCCGCAAGTCCAGCAGCCCGCGTCTTGCTAGGGAGCCAGTTCCGGTGCATCATGAAGAGGCCAGCAGTGAGGAGGCATCCTCCAGTGAAGACGATGACGTGCACCAGACAAAGCGGGAGCGCAGGAAGTTCCAACAGAAGTCCAAGGGCCAACCGGAATGTGCTGGCTGCGGAGGCAACCATTCCCGTGCCAAGTGTCGATTCAGAGACGCCATCTGTAGGAAGTGTTCCAGAAGGGGCCACATCGCTAAGGTCTGCCGATCGGCTCCGTCTGACACCCCCCCTTCATCGACTCGCAAGTCCAAGTCTTCACTCCAGTCTGCCAAGGAAAGTTGTTTCGCTCTCACCAACTGCCGCTGCCCGTCTGGAACCACGATTGGCCAAACCGACTCGCCTACGCGACGCAAGCTGAACATCACGGTGCTCATTGAAGGAGCTCCATGTGACATGGAGATCGACACCGGGTCTGCCCTGTCCATCGTGTCATGGAGCACCATCAAAAGACTTGGCTACCCAGAGTGGATCTCTCCACAAGTATATGTGACAAACTTATATACTGCATTCTCTCGTAACTACTATACACAGCCGAAGTACACTTGACGTGAGACCGCAAGCAGCTCATCCTCGAGGTAAACTTGATACTATCATTGTTAGTAGGCAATATATGCCTAAATCGTGTTACCTCTGTGTGGGTCTGCGTCTAACATATGGATTTTTCGGGCCTGCTCAGGATTACCAGAATCACCATGTTTGAGAGGTAAAGGACTTGCGTGTGGTCGCGGAGTACATGTCAAGAACATACCATAGGTGCTCAATAAGATGCTTGGTTATTCTATTGACCCTTCCAGCCCCTGTGTAAGAGTCAACCAAGAACCACAAGCTGCCATATACTAGAAATCTAACCAAACAGAACATCGGAGAAAGCGCGAGGGGTGTGGTCTCTACAGAGGGTGATCTGAAATGTGGCTCGGGTATTTGGGGTTATATGATTCTCTCTCCTTGAAGTTTCATTCGCCAATTATCAGTGTATAATGTCGTACTATACATCCGTCATGTGGACCGTATGAATTATCACATAATAACAGGTCTCGCACCATTACAATCAAGCTATTGAATTAGGCACAGCACCGGTTCCCTTTTGAGACATATAGTTCGGTAATAGCATGATCAACCCTCAGACGTGGCGCTTAATTAAGAGGACCAGTCCATAGCGAATATACGAAGCCATGGTGGCGGATCATCATGATGATCCGGTACAGTGTCCCTCTAAGCGAGGAAGTCAGGCTGCTTTAGGAGAGTGCCAGACCAAGGAGAGACGCTGTCGGCTGTTCTCTCAGTAGCTTGCAACTACTCTTCACAAATCATACGCTCCTGCTTACCGTGCCTGGTAAGGCCTAGCAGAGCCATAGGAACATCCAGCATCTTGTAGATATCTCTGCGTGAGGTGATGGACGAGTTACATGAGCATGGTCCAAGCACACGTTAAAGCTCCAAAAAAAAAGGGGCAATTTAAAAGTACAGGACAAGTGCTAGTCCCTGTCGTATTTCAATGTTGAATTACCAATATCTACCTGTGCCTGTTTGCTTTATTCGTCACAGTAGGTGAAGTCTCAGTCTATTCTCTCTCTAGAGCCATATGATCGCCTTGCCCTGCTCGATGATGTTGTTCTTAATAAACAAAGCGATGCTTCCCTGACGTGTTTTATGTATAGAATGGCACTGCTGAGAAACCCTAGCAACCATCATTATCGTCATATCCACACAGGTGGTTGAGGCGGCTTCCTCGTCGTCGGTGCTATAAGCATCGGATACTTTTGCGCTTCGCCATACGTATTGCGGTAGTGTATTCCAGTGCTTGGTGGCTTGCACTGAGATTATTCTCAAAATCGCTTAGGTTGATGACTGGGGTTCCTCCATCAAGGTGCGATACAGGTGGTAGTCCAACTCTCCGCGTGCAATGTGCACAATATTTTGCAATGTGGTGGGCTCGAACCCACCATCCTTGAGGTTAAGAGTCTCATGCTCTGACGCAACTTGTCCCGCTATTTTATGTGCATATACCGTTTGCAGGCTTTGGGTGTCTGAGTCTCTCTCTGTGTCCGCTTCCTCTCTGCCAAGTCCGGTGCACAGGAAAAGTGTCTTGTTTTATAAATCGTATATGAAGGGATGATAGAAATCAGAACAAACACACAACCACACTGCCGATAGCTTATTATCATTAAAATATGGTACCACGCCCGGAAGCCTTTGTCAGGAGGAACGCTCATTGTGGAGGGCCTATGGAGATGCAGGAGCCACGAATTCAGACGCACCGAAACATAGCAACCACCCAGCAGGCACCAGAGGCAACGGAAATCCCCCTCGAGCTTGGTTGACGATCGTCTGTGCTTCAGACATGCCTGCGTTTATCAATCACAGATCGGCAGTTGGTTGTTGATGGGCTGGGAGAATGTGTCTCGCTTGCGAGATGGAGCCTACCCTCACCCAGAATGTCGTGTGCGAGTGAGTGTTGGGTACAACAGTGAACGCGGAGTGAAGACGCTTTGCTGCTGATCCAGAAGTGCCTTGGTGATCGTGCACCTAGTGTATGTCTATGCGCTGATTTCTCAACACGACCATCTGGCTTGACTGGTGCGTGACGTGGGGTGTTATACGCCCCAATCATTTAGCGAGCGTGCATCAAAACCGGAGACTCGCTGACCCAAACATCTCTTACGAATCAGTTTTGTACCTGTTTGGTGTCGGCCGCCTAAGCACTTGGACTAAGCGTAGGAATGTCCCTGAGAGAAGTGGTAGTTTTATGTCTTGTTATTAGGGGCGAACTTAGTGGCGGATCAAAGCTGCGCTAAAGGAGGATGGGACCCGCTCACCTGTGTATAATGGACCCCATCAGCGTCCGCGTTCAAAAACCTCGGCAAAGCTCTTTGGAACCAAGAGGGACCCTCATGTCTCTGCGGTTAGAGATTGCAGATTGATGCCGGTGACCTTCCAGGCCGAGGGCATCAAACCGAGTCGTGATGACGACCCTAGGAGGCTTGAGCCGCTGACCCCTAAAATCGACCACGGCACCGGAACGCGGAGGACAAGTGCGCCCACGAAAAATCCTTGCAAAGCGATCCCGGAAACCCGGCCAACGCCTTACCCCACTGGGAATGTCGTTTCCCTGGTAGTCTCTCAGGTGGGTGACGCCGGTGAGAGTCGAGTTCTGCCTTTTGGACACTCTGCGTACCAGGTCTTTTGATGGTGCTCATGACCGCATTGGACCAGGGCACAGACCCGCCGTGGTGCGGATCTCCATGATCACATTGGAGGCTCACACGTTCAGAGTGAGCATCCCGTGACTGTTCAGACTTGCGTCAGATAACGATAAGGCCGAACGGTCGGTTTGGCCAAAGATCGTCGGTTGTCCAGACGGTGACAGCGCGCAGTTGGTTAAGTGGATAGTGGCAGGGAAAACAACTTTCTCTTGGCAGACTTGCCGAGTTCTTGAAGTACTTGCATAGTGCGAGTCGATGGAAGGGGGGCCGGTGTCAGACGGAGCGCACTCCGGAATACGAGGCAGATGCCCTTTAGCCCGATGTGCCGCTTCATGAGAACACAGCTTACCTACACAGCATTGGAGCCGTTCTACTGAAGTCGTCGACTTCTTGGTCTACGGTTGAATGGTTGTGCCTCACGCAGCCCCTAGCACATTCGGTATAGGTCCTCCTTGGATGCTTCGATAGTTGGCACCTTCCTAGCCGCTCCCCGCTTTAGTCTGGGTGCACGTCATCGATCTTCACTGGAGGATGCCTCCTCCACTGCTTGGCCTCTTCATTGAATGCACCGGAACATGGTCGTACCCTAGCAAGAACGCGG